GCAGTCGCTGCCCATCCCTCCTTGCTCCCCTCATTCCCACTCTAGTCTTCAGCAGCAACTAGTCTACTTTCTGGATTCTAGATATTTCATATAAATGGAATCATATAATATTTTTCCTTTTGTGACTGGCTTCTTTCTCTTAGCATGTTTTCAAGGTTCATCCACGTTGTAGCATGTATCATTTCTTCATTTCCTTTTATGACCGGATAATATTCCATTGTATGGATATACTAGTGTTTTTAATCCATTCAACAGTTGATGGATATTTGGGTTGTTTTCACTTTTTGTCTATTAAGAATAATGCTACCGTGAACATTTGTCATATAAGTTTTGTGTGGACATGCATTTTCATTTCTCTTTGATATATACGTAGTTGTGGAATTGCTGGTCCATATGGTAATTATGTGTTTAACCATTAAAGGAATTGCTAGGCTGTTTTCTGAAGTGCTTTTACCATTTTACATTCCCATCAGCAGTGTCCAAGGCTTCCTGTGTCTCCATATCTTCACCAACACTTATTACTGCCTTTTTGACTATAGCCATCCTAGTGGTTGTGAAGTGGTGTCTCATTATGGTTTTGATTTGTGTTTCCCTATTGATTAATGACGTCAAATATCTTTTCATGTCTTTATTGGCCATTTGTATACAGGTGTACCTCTGAGATATTGCGGGTTTGGTTCCAGACCACCGCAATAAACTGAGTCACACAAATTTTTAGGTTTCCTAGTGCATATAAAAGTTACATTTACACTATACTGTGGTCTAGTAAGTGTGCAATAGCATTATGTCTAAAAATACAATGTAATACTTTAATTCAAAAATATTTTATTGCTAAAAAATGCTAGCCATTATCTGAGCCTTCTGTAGGTCTTAATCTTTTTGCTGGTGGAGGGTCTTACCTCACTGATGGCATCTGGGTGATCAGGTTGATGGTGCTTACTAAAGGTTGGGGTAGCTGTTGCAATTTCTTAAAATAAGACAACAATGATTTTCCACATTGATTGACTCTTCCTTTCACGAATGATTTCTCTGTAGCATGTGATGCTGTTTTATAGAGTTTTACTCACAGTAGAACTTCTTTCAAAATTGGAATCAATCCTCTCAAACTCTCCTGCTGCTTTATCAACTAAGTTTATGTAATATACTAAATCCTTTGTTGTCATTTCAACAGTCTTCACAGCGTCTTCACCAGGAATAGATTCCATCTCAAGAAACCACTTTCTTTGCTCATCCATAAGAAACAGCTCCTCATCCGTTAAAGTTTTATCATGAGGTTGCTACAATTTAGCTGCATCTTCAGGCTCCACTTCTAACTCTAGTTCTCTAGCTGTTTCCACCACATCTGCAGTTACTTCCTCCACTGAGGTCTTGAACACACACGACATTTATCGATTAAGTTCTCAATCTTATATGGATGCGGTTCATGGTGCCTCAAAACAATTACTGTATCATCTTCTTTGGAAAAATGTCTATTATGATTCTTTGCCCATTTTTAAATTGGGTTGTTTGTCTTTTATTGAGTGGTAAGAGTTCTTTATGTATTCTAGGTACAAGTGTCGTGGGTTGCAAATAATTTTTCCCATTCTGTGGGTTTTCTTTTCACTTTTGTGATGGCATCCAGTGAGATACAAAACATTTTTAGTTTTGATGAAGTCCAATTTATATATTTATTTGCCATTTGTGCTTATAGTGTCATATTTAAGAAGGCTTTACTTAACCTAAAGTCATGAGGATTTACTCCTATATTTTCTTCTCTAATATGCTTGTTCTTGAGCTTCATATAAGTGGAATCATGTAGTATGTGCTCTTTTGCATCTGGCTTTTTTCCTCAACCCAACGTTTATAAAATTCATCCATGTTAATGTATGTATCTGTAGTTTGTTTCTCTTTTTTGCTGACTAGTATTGCAGTGAATACATATATCACAATTTGATTATTTTTCTGAATATTTGGGTTGTTTCTGGGCTTTGGCTATTATGAATAAAGCTTCTATGAACTTGCAACTGCAAGTCTTTTTGTAAACATACATTTTCATTTCTGTTGGCGGGTCATATGAAAATGTATTTAACTTTATAAAGAATTGCCAAACAATTCTTCAGAGCAGTTGAATTATTATATACTCCTGACATTGATGTATGAGAGTTACAATTGCTCCCATCCTGGGCAACACTTGGTATGGTCAGTCTTTAGAATTGTAGCCTTTCTAATGTGTATATAGTGTGGTTTTAACTTCTATTTCCTTGATAACTAAAAATCTTGAACATTTTTTAATTGCTCATTGGTCCCTTGATTATCTTATTTTGGAAAGTGTCAGTTTATGTCTGTTAGTCATTTAAAAAATGTGTTGTTTGCCTTCTTAATTATTGATTTTTAGGAGTTCTTCATATATTCTGGATACCAATGTTCTGTTGGATACGTATCTTGAGAATATTTTTTCTCAGTCTATGGCTTACCTTTTCATTTTCTTAATGGTTTCTTTTGAAGAACGGAGCTTTTTAAGTCTGATGAAGTCCAATTTATTTCTTAATCAGTTTTTTTAATAGTATTTCCTTGTATCCCTTTAACAAATTTTGCCTTCTCTAAGTGCTTGAAGACTTTTTTCTGTTTTCTTGAAGGAGTTTTATAGTTTTAGCTTTTATATTCAGGCCTCTTGTGCATTTTGAGTCATTTTTGTATATTGAGTAAATTAAGGCAGGGACAGTATCTTTACATAAGTTATGTCTTGGAATATTTCATTTGTAAATGTTTCTCACAGTGTTGTATATTTGTATATGTTACTTCAATGTCCTCTGAAGGTGAACTACTTAACCCTTTTCTCTCGCCCACCAGTGAATTCACTTGGCGTTCCTGCTTATCCTGAAAGTTGCAACTTGGCAATCTCTGAGAGCTTTCTGACTCTCTGGAAGCCTTCTTTTAGGCACTTTTTCATCTATACTTCCATTATATCTTAAACTTACGTTTAACCTAGGAAATACCATTATTTTATTTTTAACTGCCTGATTCTCTATTGATTGATGTCAGTGGTGTATTTTAATTATTTGGCATATAGCAAGCATTCAATGAATAATTAAGTGAAATGAAGAACTTAGGTTCAGGTTATTTCAGGAAAGTTTGTTTCTCTGTTCCATTTAGAATTCTTAAGCTTTAGAATCATACCTAAAATTACTTACGTACATACACTAATTTTTCCATAAGGTATATTATGGACTTACTGAAATAATGTATATGGAAAAAACAGTATTTAAAGTAAAACTTGGGCTAGCCCCGGTGGCCTAGTGGTTACGTTCAGCTTAACTACTCAGCTTCAGCGACCTGGGTTCAGTTCTTGGGCACAGACCTATACCACTTGTCTGTCAGTGGGCATGCTGTAGCAGTGGATCACATACAAAAAGAGGAAGATCGGCAACAGATGTTAGCTCAGGGCAAATCTTCCTCAGCAAAAAAAATCAAATTAAAAAAAATCAAGTAAAACAGCATTATTATTTTTTCTAATAGAGAATATATATAGCAAATAGTTGACCCTTTATTTGGCTGTTTTATAAATTTTTCTGTTTCTGGCAATATTTGGGACATTTTATTTAAATTATTATTGCCATGAAAAGGTATTAAATTATCCCATGAATAAGGATAGAATTTGTTCAATTTATATTATTGTGTTATTGAATATGACATATCTGGGCATTTGAAGATGTTTTTAATATGGAGATTTTTATTTTATTTCAATTCAGTCAATATTTAATGTACTTTGCACTGAGCTAAATGCTCTCAGGGATATAAAGATGAGTAAGATATAAATCTGGCTCACAAAGAGTGTTTCTGTAATCTGCTAAGTAGGGTTTGACCCATATCTTTCTTTTCTTTCTTAGTTTTTATATATCGTAAATTAGTATTGGGAACATTTTTTGTACTGTAAGCAGATGACTTTCTGAAGGAGTTACTGGAAGTAAGTAGTAGCCATGTTAAATGCACAAGTGATGTTGTAAGCCCCTTATTTGAATGACGTGTAGTTTTCATCTTTATAATGAGAGAGCCACATTTTCAGCCTTTCCTTGTAGCCTGTGTAGATGTGAAAGAAATAATGGATTTGATGTTGTGATGAGTCATGGAATGGGACCTGTCTTTCTGCAGATAAGGAAGTGGCCTAGAACAGGATTGCAAACTCAGAGGCCAACAGGGCCTTAGAGTTGAGAGGTCTGTTTAACAGTGAAGCCCAAAGATAAATAACAGCTATTAGTTGGCCTGAGATTTGGGAGATAGTAGGGATTATGGAGACTGAGTGGATCAAAGTCCTTCCTCATCTAAAGGGAGAAGCTCCTGCCCTGCTACAGATACCCTGTTGTTCCTGTGCAGGAATATTGGCCTGATTTTGCCCTATCTTTTCATTTTTCAAGAGAATCCAGGATTGTAAATAAATATAAATGTATGTGTGTATAAACAAATAAATGAAATTTTCCAATTTTAATATTAGTAATTGTTCAGTTTTTTACATACTGCACAGGCCAAACAAAACACTTTTTGTTTGGTTAGATTAGGTATGCATGGGTGAAGCACAGTGAAAAAAGAAAAGGGGTTTGGTTAATCCGTGTGGCTCTGCCTTACTTTTTTAGCCCTGGACATGTTGTAAACATGATAGGTTTAGTTCTTCTGTAGACTTCGTTATACTTCTTCCAAGTACAATTTCTTTCTTCCTGAAGCCTTCCCAACCACTTTTCTTACCAGATTTCTCCTAATTTGAATTTCTAGGGGAGGTGATGGGAAATTATGATGGGACTAATAACACTAAAATATTTAACAAAATTTATTATTTTAAATTTCGAAGTTGCTATGTTTAGATGAAGAAAATGCAGCAGTAGTTTTATAGATGCCAACCAGATATTATTGAAACTCTGCCTATTTTTAAACCATGGCTAACTTGCTGTAGTGAAGCTCTCAGTGTCATCATTGCTTCCTCTAGTGTCACTGTGAGATTAGAACTTGAGCAACTTTTAATTATATTTTAGATTGTTAGAGACGGATAGTAAGTCTTTAAGATCTGTAAATGGGTCAAGAAGAAACAGTGGCTCCTCCCTCGTATCAAGTTCATCAGCCTCTAGCAACCTCAGCCACCTTGAAGAAGATTCTTGGATTCTTTGGGGAAGAATTGTTAATGAATGGGAAGATGTGCGCAAAAAGAAGGAAAAGCAAGTTAAGGTATTCATATTGTTTGTTGAAGTTCTTCCTCTTATCCCAAAGGACATCTGGTATGGATTAATAGAGGATAAAAACAAATCAGATTTTAGGACTTTCCAAGTGCTGTAATAAAAAGGGCTGCTTTATGTGTTTTCATTTATTCATGCCCATAGAAGTTTTGATTTGTAAATATCAGTTGTTATAGAGATCTTTTAATTGTAGAAATATATGGCTGAAAATTATTTTGGAAATTTAATTCTCTCATTTTATAGATTCAGAAATGAAGTTGTAACATCCTACATCCTTGAATTATCAGTATTTTACTTTTTTTTTTTTTTGCCTAAAGCAGCCCTTTAAAAGATGATGGTTACTGTGCTATCATTCACAGCTCTGCAGATTATCAAGTCCTTAACCGTTAGAGGCCATACTCTGAGTGAAATGACAAGAATTGACCCATGGCATTGTATTCCCCCAGACCAGAACAGGGTACACTCAAGGGCTAAATCTTAGCTTTGGTTAAAAAGTTCCCTAGTCTTATTGTAAAAGTAGCTTTGTGAATTACAAATTTGATAAAGTCTTCCACTCCAGTCCAACCCCCAATAAGTCTTTGAATTTCAAGGTAAGAGACTTAAGTACTTCATTTTTAAATTTTTGTTTTACTTGTATTTTTCTTTTTAGGAACTTGTTCGTAAAGGGATACCCCACCACTTTAGAGCAATAGTTTGGCAACTTTTATGCAGTGCACAGAGTATGCCAATTAAGGATCAGTATTCAGAACTCCTGAAAATGACCTCACCTTGTGAAAAATTGATCCGAAGGGACATTGCTAGAACTTACCCTGAACATAATTTTTTTAAGGAAAAAGATAGCCTTGGACAGGAGGTTTTATTTAATGTAATGAAGGTAAGTTCTATTTATTCATTTTTTGAAATGAAATGAATTCCCAGAAGGTTGAAATTACATGTTTCTGCCAGTGAGCACGAATTCTCACTCCAATAATCAGTTACTTTGGCAATAAATTTGGCTTTAGCATAATTTCTGCTGTAATTCTGATGCTACATCACTGTCTTGTTTGGAGAATTTATTAGAAAATTCATCATATTGCTTGGTGTTATTTGGCCAAAATCAAATAATCTATAGACCAAGATACTGTAGAGAGATTCTCTATGAAAATCAATATTTCACCTTCTGTGAGTTTCATAGAGGGGAGCAGATTTTTCTGCTGTCTATGGCTAGCATTGTTAAGAGCTCTTAGCCCTTAAAACTGTATGTGCCATTGTAATTTTTTCTTCAGTATTGCTTTTTCCCTTGCCATAGCTCCTTTCTCTTTGAGCTACCTCTGTGAAATATTGATTTCTTGTTAACCCATTTCATCTTTGCCAGTGCTTTACCTTAGTCCTACTCTGGTTTTATCTTTTTCAGGTATTCATTTAAAATGATTTTTAAACTCTGTTGCTTTCCTGAGTACAAATTCCTTTATTTTCTTGTCCTTCAGAGCTGTCAGTTTGTAATTGGGAAATTGTCAAAAGAAGATTTTATGTAATAAATCATTTGCTTTTTAAATACTTATAGGATAACATCTACAACAAGCAAGCAATAGCTTTTCTGAAAAATAAATGGTCTCTAATCCACTTTCTTAATATTTGTAGGTTTTTAGGTAAGGAAGATATAACATGGTAAAGTATTTTGAACATTTCTTTACTTTTTAGGCATATTCTTTAGTGGATCGTGAGGTTGGTTACTGTCAAGGAAGTGCTTTTATAGTTGGATTGTTGCTTATGCAGGTAAGTTAGTACAAGTATTAAATGTCCAATTAAGTTCTTTATTAAAATTGCGTTGGAGAATTTAAAAATCATCTTTGTTTTTATTAAGTATAAGTGGATATTGGGCATTTCCTGCTAGGCATAATTTAAATAAGAATATTTAGTTTGCAGTTTAAAATATTAAAAGTGTTGAAAATAACACACAATAATATCCTGCCACTAAATGAAATTTCAACTTCTTGGTATCTACATTTGGACCATAATATTCTATGAAAACCTGTATCTACTTTTAGATCTTAACTTATATGGCAATATTTAATGAGGAGTAATCTTTCCCAACTAAGGAGGATGCAATTAAAGTGTTGGTATGAAAATCTTACTTATGTTGTACAGCGTCTTTGGAAACTTTTTCAGGAATTTTGTTTGTCATGAAGCTAAGGGCTTGTTAAGGGTATTGTGATATAGGCTCTAAGATGGAGGTACTCAGTCACTTTTACTGCCGCAGAGTTATAACATATATTTCCATTGGCCGTGACTTATTTTGGAGAGGGTTTGGGTCAGGTGTTTTCAGAAGTCAGGAACAGGACAGTCATCATAGCTTTGAAGGGAAATGGCATACAGTATTATCTTTTTAGACTTGTAGAAACTTTTTTTTAAAGTCCATCATGCTCTGTAGTCAGTCTCAGACTAAAACATCGTCTGAAAAGAAACCTTGGAGATAACAATTTCGTTAATGTTGAAGTATAGCTATTTTGCAAAATGAGAATTTTCCTAATTTGTACTTGGTTAATATTGGTAGACCTTTCAGTATTGAACTCAAATATCCATATTATTAATCCAGTGATTTTTGTCCCAGTTCTATTCCTTTTATTTCCATATTAGCTCCAAAATAACTTTTCAGTAGTTACTTCTGTTGAGCATCGAAAGAGCCGCTTTTCCCCATTTGAGGCATGAATCTCACGATAGCTGACTTAGCTCTCTAGGAAGCCCAAGGGGCCATCGCACCTCCCTTCAGGACACTGCAGGCAGTGCTGGTAGTGATACTCACTTTCATTCAGTGGTTGATTTACTTAACTATTGCTGTCAGGGGCAGCTAACACACTACCATAACTATAATCATTTGAGGGGCTGGTCCCATGGCCGAGTGGTTAACTTCGCGCGCTCCGCTGCAGGCGGCTCAGTGTTTCATTGGTTCGAATATCCTGGGCGCGGACATGGCACTGCTCGTCAAACCATGCTGAGTCGGCGTCCCACATGCCACAACTAGAAGGACCCACAACAAAGAATATACAACTATGTACTGGGGGGCTTTGGGGAGAAAAAGGAAAAAAAATAAAAATCTTTAAAAAGAAAAAAAAAAGGAGAACAACAACAACAACAAAAACCAAAACAATAATCATTTGATAACCCAGGGCCACAAGTTAGAAAGTGTGATACAGCCAGATTTAAAAGCCCCTCTCTTTGTTTCTAAAGCTTATTCTCTTGTACTTAATGCTATATTGCCTCCTATATATTAGTTAGAAACGTAGCTCAGTGAGTCTGCTAAACAAAAATAGTTAAAAGTGCTGGATATATGTTTTGTGTATATCTTAGTGCTCCTATAAAATTAAGTAGATAATGTCCCCATTAGACCTTCACAAAAGACGTGGGTTCTTATTAACTCAGTGTCCTGAAGTGTGTAGCAGCAGCTTGTGCTAAGACTCAGGTGTGCAGATTTCTTTCTCATAGAAAGGAATGACCATAAAACAGCTGGGTGAATGTTCTTCATATTTCTGTTTTACTCCATGTCACACTTTCTCATTTTGTGTGCGTTGTTTCAGTCTTTTTGAGAAGGACCCAGTGATATTTTTTCTACCTCTTTTTGGTTTTTTATTCAATCACTTTGACTTGTTTTTTAAAGTATCGCCAATTTTTAAACCCTCTCCCAGTTTCCATATCAATGCTATTGCAGAAGAGAGAATGAAGGTTTTTTTGAAATGTTGGGAAGAGAAGAAATTCTTCTAAGACAGAAAAGGGAGATTAATTGATTCCTTCCCATTGTGACTGGAGTGAGGGGTCAGGGAAGAAGTAGACGGGGAGTGTAGTGGTGGGAGATGAGGTTGGAGTATGGGGTTACGACATGTAGGACCGTGTAAGGATTTGGGCTTTTATTGAGGATATTGGAAGCCACTGGAGTGTTTTGAGCAGCAGAGTGAGATGATCTAATTCATGCTTTGAAAGGATCACTCTGGCAGTTCCGTGCTGCATGGAGACTAACTGTTGGGAAGGAAATACAAGGGAGGTGGTGGAGCGACCAGTGAGGAGGCTCTTGTAATTAAGCTGTTAAGTGGAATTTGAACCTTAGGTGGTGTGGCTTGAGAGCCTGTGCTGGTAACTGCCTGCCAGGATCATTGGAGGAAAGGAAGTCAATGATCTGCTGGCTAAGGAAATCATCCTCTTGCAAATGAGCAGGCTTTGGGAGGGTGACCCAAAGGTTTGTAGATGCTACAAAAAAAAGAGGAGTAATGAATGATATCTGCTGGCATGTGTTTCAGAGAGAAGGGGGAGTTAATGTAATAGCAATGAGGCAGTGAGGTCCAGGGAGGAACACAGACTCCTCTACTCCCTGGCCTTTTCCAGTGCTGTGGGAGAGAAAACAGCCACGTTAGGAGGGAGCCGATTTCAGTTAGAGGAGAAAGGTGAAAGGACATTTAGTAAAGAGATTGAGGTTATAGGTAGGATATTTTATTGATGGCAGATTATGAGTTCCAGAAACTGCTGTGGAAAAGGTTTAGGGAAGGTTGGAAATGGGTTTAGATTAGGGGAGCAATAAAATTACCTAGGATGAGAGTTCTGGGATGTTGGGCTTCTTGTAGTGACTGACATAAATCAGTGGGGCTGTAGGACTTGATAGGGTTAATAAGGATGTCTGCAAGGCAGAATTGTGGCCATATGCATTGGGAGAAAGAAAGTATGGGTTTTGCCAAGAGTTACTCTTGGCTCCTCTCTGTGGCTGTGTTGAGGCCAGGAAAAATGTATTGTTATTAGAAGCAGTCTTCAGTAACAAGAATGCCTAGAGATTCTTTCCGGTTTCCTCTTTTGAAACATGCTGGTATAATGCGAGTGAATGAGCATTAGAAAATTTTATCATTTTGAGAAAGACGGTAATTTGGATAAATGTTATTTGACTAAATATTCCGAGTATCTGTGTAGCTCTTTACAGAGCTTTTACATTCATTATCTGATTTGATATAATTTTCTTGTGAGTTACACATAAAATGTGAAATTGATACCTTTAAACTCCAATTACAGAATCTTTGAAAACTTATTTTACAAGTTCTTTTAACACTTACACCATATCATATGATTTCTGCTCAGAATCTTCGAAAATCTTACCATCTCACTTAAGGTAAAAGTCCATATCCTTACAGTGGCCTCTAAAGCCCCACGTAATTTTATTGTCTGTTATTTCTCCTCTATAACCTAATCTCTGCTTGAAACATTATGTCTAATTTAGTAATATCCTATATGCTGTTCCTTGAGCTGCAAATCCTTTTCAAAGCCTTTGTATTATTCTCCCAGGACTGTTTCCTCAGTTACTCCCTTACTTTCTTCAGTATTCTGCTCAAATGTTGCCTTGTCACGGGGCTTTGCCTGACCTACCTGCATAAATAGCAGTGTATCTTCCCAGCTTTTCCTGTTACCCTACTTTTGTTTTTGATTTCCATAGCACTCATGACCATCTGACATATATAGTAATTGATTTATTCCATGTATTGTCTATCTCTCCCTGCTGGAAAATTCAAGCTCCTGGAGGGTAGAGATTGTGTTTATTTTGTTCACTGGTAAATATCCAGAGAGAGGGAAATATCTGGCTCTAAATGAATATTTGTTGGTTGAATTAATGAAATAGGCAAGTGAGGCAGTTAGTCATATAGGTTGTAAGATTTCTCTAGCTTCCTATTCTCAGTGATAGAATGGGAGATTAGAACCTTCTGATTTCTAGTCCTTTCCTCTTAACATTGCATCACATGGCCACTTGACACAGCATTTATATAATATAGTTGAAATATATTTTAGCTTATTTGTGTATCACAGAACATTAACCTATTTTTTTTCTCCTAATGTAGATGCCCGAAGAAGAAGCTTTCTGTGTATTTGTTAAATTAATGCAAGATTATAGACTTCGTGAACTTTTTAAACCAACGATGGCAGAGCTGGGCCTTTGTATGTACCAGTTTGAATGCATGATACAGGTAAAAGTGTAGAGTTAACAAAAGGGCATGTTGCTTTTATATTTTTTGCCATGTTGGTTTGAGTGACAACTAAACAAATTTAACATTAAAAGCATCAAAGCAATTGGAAAAAAATCAGTGTTTTAATCACATGGTGGTTGTTGGTCCATTAATGGACAATTTATACCTACTTCCCCGTTGGTGCTCTCTGCAGTGGAACGCAGTCGGGAATGTGGCTGCAGTTCTCATATTCAAACCTCAATTATTTGTGTCAAATGTCTCATCACCCCATTGCCCAAATGCATGAGTTTCCTTATTATGCCCTATTATATCCTATTACTGTTACGTAGACTATGCTCTCTTACAGGAACCCATGACATTATGACACTGACGTCAGTTCATTTCCTTTGAGACTTTCTCTGCCTTCTCTTTTAGTCCTGCCCTCTTGCTTTCCCTTTTTATCTCATTTTTTTTTTGCCAGGTTGTAATCTTTTTTAAAAATAATGTTTCCGTCCTTTTTATGTTGCCAGTTTAAGACTCGGAGTCTAGTGACTATGTGAGGGTAAAGAAGAGAGGAATCAAGATCAAGTGAAAAACACCTCTGAAATATTTTAATTTTCTGAATTTAATTTATATATTCTATATATAAATAAGTTTACTATGTTGTCTTGTAATACAATGGTGTAAATATTCTCATTTACTTAAATTTCAATTAGATAAACAGAATTTAAGAATATAGGTTAATGATTCAGCTGGCATCAGAGCCATTTTTGTGAGTCTCCTTTTCCCTGGCAGCCTTACCCACAGGAATTTTAAAATCCTCTAACTTTTCTATGTGTAGCTGGAGGAAGGAGATATACAAAATGTTTTTAAAAATTTTTTATTTATTTAATTTCCTTTTTTTCAAAATGTTTTTATATTTTATTTTATTTATTTATTTATTTTTGAGGAAGATTAGCCCTGAGCTAACTGCTGCCAATCCTCCTCTTTTTGCTGAAGAAGACTGGCCCTGAGCTAACATCGTGCCCATCTCTCTCTACTTTATATGTGGGACGCCACCACAGCATGGCGTGCCAAGCAGTGCCATGTCCACACCTGGGATCCGAACAGGCAAACCTGGGCCCCCGAAGTGGAACGTGTGCACTTAACCTCTGTGCCACTGGGCCAGCCCCTGTTTTTACATTTTAGAGAAAAAGACAACGTAGGTCTTGAGATGATTCTTAGTTAAATTTTTTTCTGAAATAGTAAGCTTGTTTTTTTATCAAGCTTAAACTCTCTGGGTTTGTTTTCAGTTAATGTGTCATTTATGTTTTGAGTTGCTAGAGTTGCTGAAGCATCTGTATTTTGGATGAGAAGGTAGGAAAGCAAGGATAGGTGAGCAATGATAGACTGCATCGGAAAGTATTTCAGCATAGCATTTCTTTTAAAAAAAATCTTAAAAATATTATAGAAGAATATAGAAAATAAATCAGACACCTATGTACTCACCAACAAAATTAAACAAATCTAAAAGTGTTGCTCATTTATTTCGATTTTTCTTTTTATTAATGAAACAAATGTTGTAAATACAGAGTTCCAACTCCACATCCTTTCCCCTTTTCCCTTCCCAGATAGTAACCACTAACCTGAATGTATCAATTTCTGCATCTTAACTTCTCCTTATGTTGCCTAATCTTATCTTTGTGTTTGATATAGGGTAATCTAGTGTTTACACAATGATCTGGTTTAAAATACTCAATTTTATTATGTTTTGACTAATTCTTTTCCTCTCTTAAGGAACATCTTCCAGAGCTCTTTGTGCATTTTCAGTCTCAGAGTTTTCATACCTCAATGTATGCATCATCCTGGTTTCTGACTATCTTTCTTACGACTTTTCCACTACCAATTGCAACAAGGATATTTGATATCTTTATGTCTGAGGTAAGCTAATGAATGGGCAAACTATCATTGGGTTAGTTAGAGCAGGGCAATGAGGAGAGCAATAAAGGAGACCTGTGTATCCCATGCTAAACTGCTTACTTGTATGCTCTCATTTAAGCCTGTAACAACCCTATCAAGTACTGTTAGTTTCCCCATTTGATAGATGATACATGAGGATGCTGAGTCTTAGAGAAAGGTTAAGTAGCTTATCTATGGACGTATAGCACATAAGTGTTATAGAACCAGGATTCAAATGTAGGCAATCAGAATCTGGAGCCCAGGGAGCTGGCCCCGTGGCCGAGTGGTTGGGTTCTCATGCTCTGCTTCAGTGGCCCAGGGTTTGACCAGTTCGAATCCTGGGTGCAGACATGGCGCTGCTCGTTGGGCCATACTGGGGTGGCATCCTGCATGCCACAGCTGGAAGAAGCTACAACTAAAACAAATTCACAGCTCTGTACCTGGGGGCTTTGGGGAGAAAAAGGAAAAATAAAATCTTAAAAAAAAAAAAATCCCACACTCTTAAACCTCTGTGTCACCTCTTGGTAGTGAGAATTAGTGAGAGAGAAAATTTGCAATTTTCAGTTAATTTTGCAGTTAATGTTGTTGCAATGTGTCTGTTACCCAAAGAGCAAGAATTAATGAGTGTAATTTTCTTCTATTCCATGAACACACTGCAGGTAGTCCTTTTAATTGTCATTGACATGTAGTAGTGATTCTTGGTCTTCTGTATTTTGGGTGAGAAGATAGGAAGGTAAGAATAGGTGATCAATGGTGGATAGCCACTGAAAGTATTATTAATTGTTATTAATTACATCTTAAACCCAGTGTTAATTGTTATTAATTACATCTTGGGAATGTCAATTTGAATTACGAAGCTAAATTAGTTTAGTCTGGAGCCAGCAAACTATGATTTGTGTATTGATTTGTCCTGGTTCTGCATGCCAAATCTGTGCTTACTTGTTTCTGGAAATACAGTTTTCCTGGAACACAGCCATGCCCATTTGTTGATGTGTCGTCTATGTTTGCTTTTGGGCTACAATGTCAGAATTGAGTATTTGTGACAACAACCATAAAGCATAAAATATTTCCTATCTGACTCTTTGCAGAAAATATTTGCCAACCTCTCGTTTAGATCCCTAAATGTTTACCTTAGTATTCTTTTGAATGATTAGTTTTTGTTGATGGAAGAGTAAGACAAATTTGGCTTTATATAATTTTTTTCCTCAGGGTTTAGAAATAGTCTTTCGAGTAGGATTAGCACTTCTTCAAATGAATCAGGCAGAACTGATGCAACTCGACATGGAAGGGATGTTACAGGTAAGTCAGTTCATGATTTCCTGAATTTCTTTAGATTTTACTGTTAATTAGTTGATAATAAACAGCATTAAGTAGTTCTTACATTTTTCTTTTATTTTATCTAGCACTTTCAGAAGGTCATTCCACATCAGTTTGATGGTGGTCCAGACAAATTAATCCAGGCAGCTTACCAAGTCAAATATAACTCAAAAAAAATGAAAAAGTAAGTATTTTATATTTTGGTTTTTAGTTATAGGGGTTTGTTGTAGCATATAGGAAATTAAATGGAAGTGGCAAAACATTCTAGTGATTAGTGCAGTTTTCCTTCTCAGTTTATAGAACTGTAGTATTTTATTTGATGGTATTGGTTTCAATATAACATAAATTAATGTTGGAATTTCATACTGCTCTTAATAGCAGTGCATCAGACCATTGTGGATTACCTTTAAAACTCCCCTTTCCCATTCCATATTGACTAGAATTAGGAACCTGGTAAGTATATATATGTGAGTGTGCTATTATTTTAAAAACCACTTTTATGGTGTGGTCCAATTCACTGACATTCTTTTTCTTTCAGTTGACCCCAGATTGTCACTTAAGTTCAAGATTAGCATAACCAACAAGATAGGCATGAAGAATGGAATGAGAACTTAAATTTTTAATTTATTGTGTATTACCTTCTAATGAAACTTTTCTTGATGTGTATTTCATAAAAGTTCAAGATAAGCAGTTTTGACTCATAAAGATTAATTTTTGTAATATAGTAAAAGGTGTTAATTAAGAATGACAGCTCTTAGTCTTCTAGCTTCCAGTACTTAAATAAATTTTAGCCTGAGATCATAGTTAGCATTCCTGACACTAGTTTCTATGGTACAAGATGCTTTAAAATGATAGCGGTACTATATGTTGGCAGTTCTCAATAATATGTACAACATACTCCCATGGAAGTTCCTACTTCAGAAAATGTATTAGAATATGAGTGAGAATTATGTTACTAAAATTAGTTAGCTCTGGGGCTGGCTCGGTGGTGTAGCAGTTAAGTGTGCACATTCAGCTTGGCAGCCCAGGGTTCCCTGGTTTGGATCCTGGGTGCAGACATGGCACTGCTTGGCAAGCCATGCTGTAGCAGGTGTCCCACATATAAAGTAGAGGAAGATGGGCATGGATGTTAGCTCAGGGCCAGTCTTCCTCAGCAAAAAGAGGGGAATTGGCAGCAGATGTTAGCTCAAACCTAATTTTCCTCAAAAAAAAAAAAATTAGCTCTAATTTGCAAAAGCAAGCCAATTTATGAACTTCAACTGTTATTAATAATAAATTACTTGTGAAATTTCTAATAACCAGTCACATTACATCATCATGTTGAGACATTATAAGATCAAAAAACTGAACTATTCAGTAATTGATAAAACCTTAAGGAGCCGTCTCAATTTCCACCTCTTGGTAAAACCAAATTTAAATCACACTAGCCAAAAAGAGAATTTATTTTACTTTAAAAAAGACTTGTAGAGAACAGGATAACTGATTCTCCTTTTAGATCTTGTATATTACCAGTATAATCTCATTTCTGAAATTTCAATTATCTGCTTATCAAAAGTCTGACCCTCTAGTTCTTTCATTCTCTTACTCCTATTGCCTCTGTTCTGCTTTATCACGATTCCTAGTTTGATGTCTAATAGCCTTTGTCTGGTCTGAATAAGTATACCTCCTCTGACGTTTTGTACCCTGTATTCATGTAGCTGAGTGTTAGAGAAAATTGCATTGTTAGTGAGATTGCTGGCAGTAAGTTGTGTCTCAAGTGCCGCTCCATGTATATTTTCATTGGCCTGGATTAGTTCTCTCTTTGCTCAGAGTGGTTATTTCACACCTTACCGTTCTTCCCAAGATTCCGTCCCTGTTTTGCCATATCTAACTCTTCAGCAGATTATCTTACTTCTTAATTCATCAGCCATCATTTTCAAACTTACTGAACTTTTCTGCTGTAAGTTCCAGATTACAGACTTAGCCATATTTCTTTTCTTCCCTTTTCAGAATACCATATTTCTATTCCTTTATAATGCTAAATCAGAGTGTAGAATGTTATTCATTCCCATCTCTTCCAGGTCCTTCCTCCATTAATTGTTCGTCTGTCTTTTATCTTCAATCTCTCTCTCTGTTGTTCATTTTCTTCAATATATGAAGCTGTTTTTGAGTTCTGACTTAAAAGCAACAAAAACAGACACACAGATACAGAGATGAGATTTGTGGTTACCAGAGGGGAGAGGGGGAGGGAGGAGGACGAAAGAGGTAATAGGGCACATGTGTGTGATGATGGATGTTAATTAGTCTTTGGTGGTGAACATGATGTAGTCTCCACAGAAACTGAAATAGAATGATGTATACCTGAACTTTATATAACGTTATAAAGTGATGTTACCTCAATAAAAAAAAAACAACAGAAACAAAACTTTTCTCAACATAGCATTCCATTCTCCTTTTATGAAGCATATCTGTGAAGGAAAAAGTAGTTTATAGTCATTAGTTCCAGATCATATTTCATCTGCTTTTTTTCCCAATTGAGATATTTTTCAAACATACAGAAAAACAGAGCCCACTTGATATATTTTTCAAACATACAGAAAAACAGAGATACTAGAGTAGTAAATATCCATATGCTTATCATCTAGATTTAACAGTTGATAGTTTGTCATATTTACTTCAACTATTTTTTTGTTTGGTAAGGAAGATTGGCCCTGAGCTAACATCTGTGCCAATCTTCCTCTATTTTGTATGTGGCTTTCTGCCACAGCACGGCCACCACTGAGTGGTGTAGGTCTGTGCCTGGGAAGCGAACCCAGGCTGCCAAGGGGGAGTGCACCAAACTTAACCACTAGGCCACACGGCCAGCCCTTAAATGCAACTGGTTTTTGTAAGTTGATTTTGTACTCTGCAACTTTGGTGTAGTTGTTGATTATTTCTAATAGTTATCCGATGGATTCTTTAGGGTTTTCTATGTATAGAATTATGTCGTCTGCAAACAGTGAGAGTTTCACTTCTTCCTTGCCAACTTGGATCCCTTTTATTTCTTTTTCTTGCCTAGTTCCTCTGGCCAAAACCTCCAGTACTGTGTTGACTAAGAGTGGCGAGAGTGGGCACCCTTGTCTTGTTCCTGTTCTCAGAGGGATGGCTTTCAGTTTTTCCCTCATGAGTACGAATTTGGCTGTGGTTTTGTCATATGACCTTTATTATGTTGAGGTGCTTTCCTTCTATACCCATTTTATTGAGAGTTTTTATCATAAATGGCTGTTGAATCTTGTCAAATGCTTTCACTGCATCTGTTGAGATGATGTGTGATTTTTATTCCTCATTTTGTTAATGTGTTGGATTGCATTGATTGATTTGCAGATATTGAACCATCCCTGCATCCCTGGTGTAAGTCCCACTGATGGGATCCTTTTAACGTATCGCTGTATTTGGTTTGCCAATATTTTGTTGAGGATTTTTGCATCTATGTTTATCAGCAATATTAGCCTGTAATTTTCCTTCTTTCTGTTGTCCTTGTCTAGCTTTGGGATCAGGGTGATATTGACCTCATAGGATGAGTTAGGAAGTATTCTGTCTTTTTCAATTTTTTGGAATAGTTTGAAAAGGATAGGTATTACATCTTCTTTGAATGTTTGTTAGAGTTCTCCAGAGAAGCCATCTGTCCTGGACTTTTATTTTTTGGGAGGTTTTTGATTACCATTTCAATCTCTTTACTTCTGATTGGTCAGTTCAGATTCTCTATTTCTTCTTGATTCATTTTCGGGAGGTTGTATGATTCTAAGAATTTATCCATTTCTTCTAGATTGTCCAATTTGTTTGGCATATAGTTTTTCATCGTATTCTCTTATAATTGGTACTTGTCATTTTCCTTCTGGTCTGGAGTGTTAATATATTTCTTCTTGCTATTGGATGAGGTGGACTTCTGCCATCTCATAGTGTTCATATCTTCTCGTAGATTCCACTTGCCACCACTGGTGGGGACAGGAGCTATGTTTTCTGAGCCTGCTGTGACCCCTGGCAGTTGTGCCCATCCATTGGAAGCTGTGCCAACAGGGCTCGCTGCTTCTGCCCACTGCTGCCCTGCATACATAGGCACAGGTGCTCTGGCGGGGATCCCCTGTCCTGGCCTACTGGCCAGGCGGGATGGGGGAAAGAGGCGCCCCCTCTCCTGCCCATGCTCCCCCTCTGCACTTACTGGCTGGCTGCCTGGGCTGCTCAGCTTGGAGAGGGCGACCCTGCAGTTCCTTAGCCACCTCTGTGTAGAGGGTTTCCATGGTCTGGGAGGCAACTCTGAGAGCAAAAGCGTGCCCATGGAGGGCTGACTTTTCCCCCTTCTCCTCTCAGCCATGCACCACTGCCACGCGAAGTCCCACACCCTAGACCACTGCCACTTGGGGAGGGAGAGGAGATCCGCTCACCTCCTTCCACTGCCTCCCAGGGGCTCTGGCAGCCCCACCTTCAGATGTGTGGCTGCATGGATCTCTCAGATGTCTGTAGTGGTGTGTGGATCTCGTCTCTTGATTTATGAATGTCCTTTTCATTGTATCTTGGGGGAGAGACTAAGGGAAGAGCTCACTCCACCGTGATGCTGATGTCGCTCCTTAACCATTTATTTCTTAAACCTTCGTAATCTGGTATCTGCCCTTACTCCTTCCACTAAAACCACTTCTTTAAACTCTTTATTCATTTATTCAAGAAATAGTTCTTTTGCGTGCTGACATTGTTCTAGGTGCTGAAAATAAAATGTCGAACCCAGTAGACAAAATCGCTGCTGTCATGGGGAGTTTATGTTCTAGTGCGTGTGGTGAGGCAGAAATTAAACAGAATTATGTGTCAGGTGCAGGTAAGTGCTGTGAAGAAAGACAATCTGGGGCTGGCCCCGTGGCTGAGTGGTTAAAGTTCTGCACGCTCCACTTCGGCAGCCCTAGTTCACAGGTTCAGATCCTGGCTGCAGACCTACTTTACTCATCAGCTGTGCTGTGGAGGTATCCTACATGCAAAATAGAGGAATATTGGCACAGATGTTAGCTCAGGGTGAATCTTCCTCATCAAAAAAAAAAAAAGAAAGAAAGACAGTCTGTGTAAGGCGACTTGAGAGTAACAGATGGGTGCCTTTTTTTTTTTTAAGTCCACTGGTGGGCAAAGGCCTTTCTTAAAAGGTAGCATTTAAGCAGAGACCTAATAGAAGTAAGAGGCAAGCCA